GGTTAGTAAAAATTATTCAATACGAACCGCCAATTCTTCAGTCCACGTGGAGTAATTCCTAGCGGCATTAAATCTTTGTGTTGTTTTTTTTGGCCTTTGAGTTCGCCGATAGCTTTAAGATTACTATATTGGTTACTTCGACTATACCCAGATATTGAACTCGGTTTTAGCTCATCAAAAAAAACTCAGATTTCTCAAATGTCCATAATCTTGCTCTGGAACTCGAATTTTGTATCACACGAACCACTGAAAACTCCCACAAAAAAGTCCCAAATTATTGAAAAAGGCTAAAATGATGGTATGTGTACATTTCACGAAAAAATAAATTGCATGAAGGCCCAATATCTATAACCTACTTGAAATAATTTTATGTTCTTAGAAAAATTGACTTATTAACATGGAGAATGTTGTTTACCTGCTGATCCCGCTCCCACTACTATAAAATCGTATCGATCTAGCAGTTCGTCAGTGAGGACATCGATGGGTCTACTTTCTGGGTCCATTTGTTCATACTGAAAATAGGCTATTGATGCCATCAGGGCTGGGAGAACCAAGGCCAAATTCGATGCTCCTATAGCTCCGAACCCATAGAAGGGTGCTGCTAGAGCACTCATCGCTGTAACAAAAACCAAAATGTATCAATCAGCATTATGAAGAACTAGTTGATGCTAAATTGTCTCGAAACCTTGACGAAAAGAAGTTACACCATTCCGATCTGGAGTGAATTTGTAAGTTGTTTCAAAAGTTTTGTCCGTTTTGATGTCATGTGCTTTTGTATCTGCAATACCTCTCAATATCTCAATACCTCATTCAGAACTGGGTCATTTCCTTCTTCTCTGAAGACTTCCGTTGTCATTCCACTACATAAAGTTGGTGATTTAGATAATCCCTCCAATCTGCGTCCTATTTCCTTGATACCGACTTCAGCAAACATTATTGAGAAATTAGAGAAATTAGAAAGTACCTACGTTTAGATGAATTCTTAAAACTGCACTGTATTATAAGCAGAAACCAATTTGGGTTTCAGATGTAAATGATGCTATCTTCTCTTTTTTATATGAAATTTTCTTTAGATGAATGCTGGTGAAGTGGTCGCCGCTATTTTTGTGATAATCCAAAGGTGTTTGATTGTAATGTTATTAAAAGAAGTTCATAAATATGGATCTAGAGGTGTAACGAACACCTAGTTTGAATCTGGTGTGCCACATGGTTCTGTGTTAGGCCCTACTCTACTTCTACTATACATGAATGACATCTCTATGATTGGCATATCTGGTAGTTTCACTTTATTCGCGGAAGATACTACAATATTGTGGAATGAAAAAAACTCAGTGAAACTAAATAAAATAATGATGGAGAAGGTGAAGAGCTGGTGCGATGGAAATTTACTCTCTCTTGATGAAATTTCAATAGACGCTGCCATATTACAAAACAAATTAAACATAAAATTTCTTTTTGTATTCATTGAAAATAGGCTGAAATTTGATGAACACCTTAAACAACTCAAGAGTAAGATCTCCTCCGGATGTTACGCAGTTAGAGTAGTTTCAAGTGGGTTGGGTTTCCATATCGCAAAGACCGTTCACCATGCACTTATTGAATCTCGACTAGGTTATGGAATACATTTTTGGGGAGCATGCAACTCATCCCTTCTCTCTTCTGTATTGATATTACAGAAGAGAACCCAGAGAATCGTGCAGGAAGTTGTTCCATTCGAAGATGAACCAAGAAATGGTCGACCTACATTCAGGACTAGGATTTGGGTACTCTGGTGAATACTGATCCATCACAAAAGGTGCGTCGGATGGCGGAAGGAATGGAAGTCAGCTCCAATGGGATTTTTTATGGTTTAAAACGTATTGGAAAGGTCAAAAAGCTCGATAAGTGGATGCCTCACGACTTGAACGATCAACAGAAATAGTCACGTTTCAAAGTCTGTTTTTCTTTGGTTTTGCGCAACCAAAATTATCTTTTTTTTGATAGGATACTCACTTGTGATGAAACGTAGATCCTCTACGATAACAGGAGACGTTCAAGACAATAGATGGACACCGAAATGACATCCAGGCACTTCCCAAAGGCGAAAACCCGCCAAAAAAAGAAGATGGTTACCAGCGGCTGGTGTAATTCACTATAACTTTCTCCAACCACTTCAAGCCATCACAGCAGAGTCTTTTTCTGAGGAAATCGAGGAAATGTATCGAAAATTGCGTCAGTAGCAGCCGGCACTGTTTCACAGAAGAGGTTCGATCCTGCCATGACAAAGCTTTTTTTTTCAAGGACAAAACACAAGCACTACAGAAAAATTCTTGAGCCGCTCTAAGAGCGGTGCCTATGCGAAAGTAGCCATTCACTTTGGATTTGAATCGCTGGAGATTAAATCCATTTGGAAAAACGTTCTCAAGAAGTTCCCTACATAAACTTAGTTCTCTAAATGAAAGAGGACAATACTTCAAAGAAGGTCTGATCTGAGCTTAGTGATTACTAATAAATAGAGTTAATCTATGATTTTCACTATAAGGGTTTTACAAAAACCGCGACACGTGTTTCGCTATACAATAGCTTCTTCAAGCATAACTTCACTTATGCTTGAAGAAGCTATGCTTATAGTGAAAATCATAGATTAACTCTATTCATTAGTTTTTTAAATATGGATTTTCATCAAGTATCGGTCAGTTCTATTCAATTAGTGATTACTTTAATAAGTGTATAAAAGTGTTGAAAAAGATTTACATTCTTCAAGACAGAATTGAAATGATTGTAATTTATGGAGAAGTTGGAAAGTGCGCACGAAGTGCGGCATGTCTTTTTAACGAAAAACATCCAAATTGTAATGTTACCAGTATGTGCTTGATTTTGTGCTTGATTTACCCCAGAGTACTAAATGAAGCAGCTCAAATTGAATCTTTTGGAACATTCGCTGCAGAGCCCACGAGCTCCTCACGATCAGTATCAGAACAGACGGGAATGTCACCCAAGACTGTAAGAAAAGCACTGAAAATGCATTTTTTTATACTTAGCAATATCTCTTTTTGATCCAGTTTTTTAACTGTCTCAGATCAGTCAATTCGAAATTGGTATGTACCTACCTTAGAAAAAGTTACAATTTCTATACATTGAGGTATTGGTCTCTAACGTACAACAGTACACATTAATATTTTTTAATAGTGTGCTTTGGAAAAATAAATAAACCAATTATTTAACGTCAGACTTTCGTTGGTGGTTTTGACTGATTGTGATAGCTACCAATTATAATAGAATAATGTCAAGATTAGGTTACAGTAATGAAGATTTCTTGAATTTATTAATAATTTATGGTGAGTGCAATAGAATTGCAAGTAGAACATGCCGAGTATTTCATGAAAGATATCCACAANTGTTCCATTTGAAAAATCAAAGAAGCCGCTACTTTATAGTAGAAGCGACAACGCCGCTTCGTCTAAACTATTTTAGGCGTGTAGGTCATATTGACTTATGCATACTGTGGAATTTTCAAGTTGATCCGTTGAATAGTTTGCCAGAAACGGCTAATTAACGCTCATCATGAAAAGCCCTATATTACACTTGATATACAGTTGAAATCATACCTACATTACATTTCCAAAAATCTCACCTGAGTGAGTGAGATGATTATCTATCAAACTATACACTTTCATTCATCTTATATTCATTTTCATTCATTCATTCATTCTATATCTTTCATTCATCCGTAGTAGGTATGATGTTACATAATATCTCCTGGAGTGTCAATCTTTAATAAACATTTTTGCTTATTTATCGTTAGATGATTTTTCTATAACACATCTTCATGTAGCACACCAGTTAACCACAATTTTTTTCCCACTTACCACTGGTAAAAAACACCATTATCGCGGATTCGAATACATCAACTGCAAGACACCACACACAAAAGTAACATGATCCAAATTTTTTTGATATATGGCCAGCGAATTGTTTTTCAATTTTGGTCACATATCACTTTCTACCAAATCCCCGTACCGAAACTATTACAAGGCGAAGGAACAATGACAGAACATTTCATTCAATTCAATCTTAAGTGAAAATTCATCGACGAATTCCCAATAAGGATGGCTGATTACTGATATAGTTTATAGGAATTTTGTGATTCAAGATTCCACGTTTTTTTCGTTACACCACCAAATGAGACGATGAAATTGCATAGTAGAGAAAGTTATATCTTTCTTATTGTTTCATTAGTTATTCCTCTCGCGTTATTTTATATGGATGATTTCGAAAATTTGTTGCAATGATTTACAAAATAGTAATAACAGTTTTTTGTGTACGTGCGGTTAAGCATTTACGAGTACATAGTCCGTTGCTATTTATGGAGAAACCTTTCTTAACCCATTTAAAAACACTACCAATATTTTCAGAAAAATCTCCAATTTTTTGACATATACATATTTATTCATATATACTAAAACATCTCTGGGGTTTGAACAAATAATAATAATAAACTAAACAATATTTTTTTGAGTTGCGTAAACGCAACATTGGTAACAAATGCATACAAAATTTCAAAATATAATTCATGATATTACTTGAAACAGTTCGAATGTAGTGGAATTCTACATTTATTGCACATGAAAACCGTTGTGCTTTCACATAACCTGCATCGTCTTCTCCAGTTCTCTGAATTTTTTTCTATTATATGACCAACATTATCGAGTCTGACAGAAGATGGTAGAGATGACGTGGAACCACGTCCTCGAATAGATTGTGCCCTACGTTTGTTGGTACTCATGAGGCTTCGTGCAAGTTCGGGCCTGAAATCCAGCTGCGAAATAGGCTTATCACTATATACAAGCCGGTGAAGTTTCCAAGCATTCACCACAGAGGAATCTAACATGTTTATAAACAATGGCCACCACCATTTTTCCCACGAATATTGATTCGATAGTTTGCGATTGCGTTATCATGTAAATCAACGCCTCCCATATATTTGTTATATCTGGCAATCATGTTAGGTTGGAGAATCAAAGTTTCGCGTTTCTCCTTTCGATTGTACTTTTTCACAGATACAAGAGGCTGCACAGATTCACAATTGGTTGCTACTGTTACCACGGAATTATCATTCCAACGTACTATGCCAATTTCATTCACGTGATCGTAACGGGAATCCATACTACCACGCAGTTTTTTTCCTATAGTTTTATTGTTCTCTAATGGGCATTTCAGAATCCTGTTCTCGCGTACAGTTCCAGTTGCAAAATATCCTTCATTTTTCAAGTGAACTAGTAGCTTATAACTTGTGAAAAAGTTGTCGAAATAAATCTTATGAGCT